ATTTCTCTGGTTGTGGGTGAACTACAACTCCCAGAAAAGAAGGTCAGTTTTCCCCAAACCCCTCCAGTAATCAAATTTGGGCATATCAGGTCTATGTGCCAAGTTTGGTCCAGATCCATCAGTGTTTGGGTTCACAGTGCCCTCTAGATGTAGGTGAACTAAAACTCCCCCAAATCAAGGTAAATTTTCCCCAAAGACCTCCAGTATTTTTTGCTGGTCATGGGGGCTCTGTATGCCAAGTTTGGTCCAATTCCATCTTTGGTGGAGTTCAGAGTGCTCATTGATTGCAGGTGAACTATACATCCCAGTACCTACAACTCCAAAATGTCCAGGCCAATTCCCCTCAAAACCCACCGGTATTCAAATGCGGGCACATCAGGAACACAGGCCAAGTTTGGTCCGGATCCATCCTTGTTTGGGTTCGTAGTGTACTCTGGATATAGGTGAACTACAACTCTCAATCTCTCCAAATACCTCCAATTATTTTTGGTTGGTCAGGGGGGTTCTGTGTGCCAAATGAGCTCCAGATCCATTGTTGGTCTTGTTCAGAGTGCTCTTAGACTGCAGGCCAACTATACATCCCAAGACCTACAACTCCTATAAATCATGGTGACTTCTCCCCAAACCTCTCTAGTATGTTCAGTTTGCTGATCGGCTACATGTTTACGGCGCTCACTATAACCCAATGTCTAAGTGGATGCCCCACACACACAAACACACATTTTCACTTTTTATTATGTGTATTGATCAATACACATATATGGTGTGTTTGTGTGTGTGGGGCATCCACTTAGACATTGCAGGTATACATTATTATTATTATTATTATTATTATTATTATTATTATACTAGCTGTACCCACCACATGTGCTGTGGCCAACCTTCCCTCCCTTCTTCTTTCTCTCTTCCTTCCTCTTTCCCTCCCTCCTTCTTCCCTCTTTTTCTTCCTCTTTTTCTTTCTTCCTTCTCTACCTGTTTATTTCCTCACTTCCTTCGCTCTTTGGTTCCATCCTTCCTTGTCTCTTTCCTTCCTTCCCTCCCTCTTTCTTTCTTTCTCTCCTTCCTTCCCTCCCTCTTTCATTCCTTCCCTCTTTTTTCTTCCCTTCTTCTCTCCTTCCTCTTTCCTCTCCTTCCTTCCTCCTTCCTTCCCTCTTTTTCTTTTCCTCTTCTTTCTTCCTTCTCTACCTGTTTCTTTCCTCCCTTCCTTTGCTCTTTGGTTCCATCCTTCCTTGTCTCTTTCCTTCCTTCCTTCCTTCCTTCCTTCCTTCCTTCCTTTATTTCCTTCCCTCCTTCCTTCCTTCTCTACCTTTCTTTCTTTTCTTCATTCTCTCCTTCCCTCCTTCTTTCCCTTTTTCTCTCCTTCCTTTCTTCCCCATTCCCGTGTATATTTGTTTTGTGTGTATATATATGCATATATGTGTGTATATATTTGTATATATGTGTATATATATATGTGTGTTTGCATATATATGTGATTTTGCGCATGCATTGTATTTTATTTTTTGGCTTTTTAAGTCTCTTCTGCTGTGTTTTCCAGTGTTTTTATGAGTGATGGTCACTCATTGGCCTGAGAGGTATCTTGTGTCCAAATGTGGTGTCAATTCATCCAGTGGTTTTTGAGTTATGTCAATCCCACAAACAAACATTACATTTTTATTTATATAGATTACTAGCCGTCCCCTGCCACGCGTTGCTGTGGCCCACATGGGGTTCTGTGTGGGAGGTTTGGCCCAATTCTATCGTTGGTGGGTTCAGAATGCTCTGTGATTGTAGGTGAACTATAAATACCAGCAATTACAACTCCCAAATATCAGAATTCTATTTTCCCCCAACTCCACCAGTGTTCACATTTGGGCATATTGAGTATTCGTGTAGTTTGGTCCAGATCAATCATTATTTGAGTCCACAGTGATCTCTGGATGTAGGTGAACTACAACTCCAAAACCAAAGGACACTGCCCACCAAACCCTTCCAGTATTTTCTGCAGGTCATGGGAGAGCTGTGTGCCAAGTTTGGTTCAGTTCCATCGTTGGTGGGGTTCAGAATACTCTGATTGTACATAAAAGAGAAATCCCAGAAACGACAACTCCCAAATGACAAAATCAAATTTTTTTGAGTGAAGAACATACATTGGACTGTTAGGTGTATTGTGTCCAAATTTGGTGTCAATTCATCCAGTGGTTTTTGAGTGCGGTTAATCCCACAAACGAACATTACATTTTTATTTATATAGATTATTATTGCTCTACGTTTCTCTCAACTGAGATGCAAAGTGGTCCCAGTGGTGATCGGCACACTGGGTGCAGTGCCTAGACACTTGGGAAGTGTCCAACGTGTGATCCAATACAACAGCCAGCAGAGTGATCTTGTCTGCTGTGGACTCATCTTGTTGTGTTTCAGATAATAATAATAATTGGTCCCAGTGGTGAGCAGCACACTGTTTGCAGTGCCTCAAGACCTTGGCCTGCACTTAAACACAATCACTGCTGACAAGTTTACCATCTGCCAACTGCAAAAGGCCACCTTACTGGGATCTGCATGCATTATTTGTCGATACATCACACAGTCCTAGACACTTGGGAAGTGTCCAGTGTGTGATCCAATAAAAACAGCCAGTAGAGTGGTCTTGTTTGCTGTGGACTCATCTTGTTGTGTTTCAAATAATAATATAATAATAATAATAATAATAATAATAATAATAATAATAATAATGTTTTTCTATAGATTGTGACCTAAGGCAGCTATTATTAGGGACCAGAAAATAAATCAATATTATTATTATTATTATTATTAATAATAATAATAATAATTGAGTACTATTTTTGGTACTAATGTTGGAGAGTGGTCCCTGGTCAAAAAAAGGTTGAGAACCACTGCTATATGGAAATCTAGTATATTAGAATATTACTCTCATTGGTCTTGCATAGAAGATACCAATAGCGTTGCATGGGATATGGATGAGAAACTTGTCCCAACTTGACCAGAATCCCCCCTTTTACCCCAATGAATAAGGGCAAGAGCATGGCCTCCTTGGCTTGGCGGCAGCACCAGATCCTCCCCGAGTTGGAGGAGAGTCCAGAGCCGGACCGGTTCCGAAAGAAGCCCTCCTTGGACCTGCGGCGCTCCCTCCGCAAGAGAATGCCCCTCCGGGAAACCGGGGTCAATTTCGCCGAAAACCCAACCTGGGAAAGCTTGGAGGCCAAGGAGAAGCCGGGCCGCCTCCGGAGCAGCCTCAAGAAGGCCTTTGGGACTGCCTCCCAGGTACACCAGCCGATACCAGTCCGTTCTCCAGTTGGAGGCCACAAGGGGGCGATAGAGAGAGAAGAATGTTCTGCATTAGAGAGGTGGAGGGTGGCTTGAAGGAGGAAGACCCTTTCCCCCTGTTTTCCTATTATTCCCCCCACAAATATCCCCTTCATGGAAACAACTCTTCTGTATGAAATGGGGCAGTGTTCTGTTCTCCAGTTGGAGGCCACAAGGGGGCGATAGAGAGAGAAGAATGTTCTACATTAGAGAGGTGGAGGGTGGCTTGAAGGAGGAAGACCCTTTCCCTCTGTTTTCCTGTTATTTCCCCCACAAATTTCCTCTTCAAGGAAAAATCTTTTCTTTATGAAAAGGGGCAGTGTTCCATTATCCAGGCGGAGTCCGCAAGTGGGTGACAGAGAGAGAATGGTTCATGTTATGGAGGTGGAGGGTGGCTTGAAGTAGGAAGACCCATTTCCCCTGTTTTCCTGTTACTCCCCCCACGAATGTCCCCATCTGGGAAACAACCCTCCTTTATGAAATGTAGCAGTGCTCCGTTATCCAGTCTGTGGTCACAAGGGGGCGACAGAGAAGGATTTTGTTACAGAGGTGAAGGGTGGCTTGAAGGAGGAGGACCATTTCCCCCTGTTTTCCTGTTATTCCCCCCACAGATGTTGCCTTCATGGAAACAGCCCTCCTTTATGAAATGGGGCACCATCAGTTATCCAGGCGGAGGCCACAAGAGGGAGATAGAGAGAGAAGCATAGTCCATATTACAGAGGTCGAGGGTGGCTTGAAAGTGGGAGACCCCTTTCCCCTATTTTCCTGTTATTTCCCCCATTAATATCCCCTTAATGGAAACAATCCTCCTTTATGAAATGGGGCACTGTTTCATAATCCAGGTGGAGGCCACAAGGGGGCGATAGAGAGAGAAGCATAGTCCACGTTACAGAGGTGGAGGGTGGCTTGAAAGTAGAAGACCCTTTCCCCCTGTTTTCCTGTTATTCCCCCAACAAATGTCCCCTTCATGGAAACAACCCTCCTTTAGGAAATGGGGCACCATTCCATTATCCAGTTGGAGGCCACAAGGGGGCGTTAGAGAGAGAAGAATGTTCTACATTGGAGAGGTGGAGGGTGACTTGAAGGAGGAAGACCCTTTCCCCCTGTTTTCCTACTATTCACTCCATGAATGCGCTTCATGTAAACAACCCTCCTTTTTGAAATGGGGCACTATTTTGTTATCCAGGTGGAGGCCACAAGGGGGCGATAGAGAGAGAAGGATGGTCCATGTTACAGAGATGGAGGGTGGCTTGAAGGAGGAAGACTCTTTTCCCCTGTCTTCCTGTTACTCCCCCCACGAATGTCCCCATCTGGGAAACCACCCTCCTTTATGAAATGTGGCAGTGCTCCATTATTCAGATGGTGGTCACAAGGAGGCGACAAAGAAAGAAGGATAGTCTGTGTAACAGAGGTGGAGGGTATCTTGAAGGAGGAAGACCATTTCCCCTGTTTTCGCTGATTATTCACATGTCATACTCAGTGATTGTTTCGACCACGGCGAAATGGATTAGGGAAATGTGAGGAATGGTCTCTCTTCAAACGGTCTCTCTCTGAACCTGCACAGCTGGAGCCTGAACAAAAATGTAACAGTATTCAAAAGTCCCAGGCTCAGCCTGCTCCCCGGGAATAGCCCAACCAATCAGCTTCATGCATCTTATGTTACAGTTGACACACATTAACTGATTTCTTGCATGCTCCAACACCCCTCCTTGTGTTTACATTAAAAAATAGACAAATTACTCAATACTGCTAAATGTTTCTGAACACCCAACTGTTAACACATTGGCCAGGTTCAAGTTAGTATTGCAGTAAACAAGGTGTGTATGGAAGACAAGGCAAGAAAGGACACAGAAGGAAGGCAGAAAGTGAGAAACAACTATTGTTGAGTCAAGCCTACCACTTTCCCTACAAATTTTAGTTGTTAATCCTGGGAGGAGTTGGGATTTTGACTTTTATTACCTTATTAAATGAAATATTTAATTCCTTGTTTACTGTTCACCTGTGTAAATCCAACTCTGTTCCTGGTGAGGATGTGCACCCTGTAATACTGTTTCTCGTTTCAGAAAATCCAGGGCCACTGCCGAGGTCCGGCCCGGGCATTAGTGGCCTCTTTGGCCAAGATCCCAAACTGCGACCCCCAAGCCCGTTGTGCCCTTGGCCACTCAACCCCAACCTCCAGGGCTAGGATGATGGGCTCTCCCTCGTCCAGCGAAGGCTCCCCCCTTCGTCTCCAGAGGAACCGCCTTCCACCCCGGAGGTCCTTGAGGGCCGCTGCCTTGAGGAGCCCCTATGCCTCTCCTGCCTCCGCCATCCAAAGGAAGTGAGTCTTGCACCACCTTCGTGTCATTCCTGACCACAGAACCCCTCACTTTGGGACGTGTTCCCAAGAGAAGACCTCTCTAGGCATATCTGAAGTCCTCCAGCGTGACTTGATGGTCAACATCTGTCACAAGTTGGCTGTAGGACTCCTACGGAGATTCTCCAGAAGTTGGCTATAGAAATGTGTTGGAGGACCTAAAGATTCCCAGAGAGATCCTCTAAATATTGGCTATAGAAATGATTTGGAGGACTTAAAGGTTCCTGGAGAGATCCTAGAATTGTCTTGGAGAACCTAAATATTCCTAGAGAGACCCTCAAAATGTTGGCTATAGAAATGTATCGGAGGACCTAAAGATTCCTGGAGAGATCCTCCAAATGTTGACTCTAGAATTGTCTTGGAGGACCTAAGGATTCCTAGAGAGATCCTCCAAACGTTGGCTATAGAAATGTATTGGAGAACTTAAAGATTCCTAGAGAGATCCCCCAGAAGTTGACTGTAGAATCATACTGGAGGACCGAGAGATTTGCAAAGAGGTCTCCTCGCAGGGAATCTCTACAGTTACTCTACTATCCACTTCTATCATTTGCATAGAGATTCCTAGAGAGGTCCTCCAAACTTTGACTATATAATTGCTTTGGAGGACTCAAACATTCCTAGAGAGGTTCTCCAGTCGTTGAGCCTAGAATAGCATTGGAGGACCTAGATATTCCTACAGAGGTTTTCTTTTGAGGGATCTCTGTAGTCCTCTAGTGTGACTCTATGGTCAGCTACCAGACATTGAGCATATAGAATCACATTGGAAGGTCTACAGATTCCTAGAGGAGTCCTCTCAAAGTTAACTAATTCTATTTGCGATTCTCAAGTTTCCTAGAGAGACATGAACAGTAAAATTGTTTCTGGAGGATATAGAGATTCCTAGAGACGTTCTCCAGTAGACGGCCATGAACCCTCCCTGGAGGACTATAGAGATTCCTAAAGAAGTCTTCTTTCACAGAATCTGAGCTCACACTGGTTAACTTCCTCCAGAAGTTGCAATGGAGGGCCTAGACAGAAGTCTTTTATCTAGGAATATCTGGGGTCCTCCAGTATAACTCGATGGTCCACTTCCTCCAGAAGTGGAACATGGAGCTCACCCTGAAGGACCTTAGAAATCCCTAGAGAGGCCTTACCGCTCGATTCCTGTTGCAGACGATCTGATGACGGCTTGGAGAGCGTCTCCCGTGGCATCCGGCGCCTCAAGCGCCTCTCCCAAGCCTTTAATGACATTATCGTCCAAGAAGAAAGGTGAGCATCCATTTTTGGGTTTTGAAAATGGAGGGATCTCTTCCGATTTGGGGGCCTTGTCCCACTTCAATTGTGTTCAAAAATAAAGATTCACATTGGACTAGGGCTCTGGAAGCCCAATTCACGCCTGGAAACCCATTGAGTGACCATGGGGCGAGTCACTTGCTCTCAGCCCCAAATTTCCCCCAAAGGCTCCAGTATTTTTTGCTGGTCATGGGGGCTCTGTGGGTCAAGTTTGGTCCAATTCCATCTTGGGTGGAGTTCAGAGTGCTCATTGATTGCAGGTGAACTATAATACCAGTACCTACAACTCCAAAATGTCCAGGCAAATTCCCCTCAAAACCCACCAGTATTCAAATTTGAGCATATTGGGTATGCATGCCAAGTTTGGTCCAGATCCATCATTGTTTGGGTTCATAGTGTACTCTGGATGTAGGTGAACTACAACTCATATAAATCCCTCCAAAGACCTCCAGTATTTTTTGTTGGTCATGGGGGTTGTGTGTGTGCCAAGTTAGTTCCAGGTCCATCGTTGGTGGAGTTCAGAGTGCAGTTCTTAGATTGCAGGTGAACTACACATCCCAGGATCTACAACTCCTATAAACCATGGTAATTTCTCCCCAAACCACTCTAGTATGTTCAGTTGCTGATCAATTCTGCTCTGTTTGCTGTGTGTCATAGAAAAGAATAGGAAAGTGTTAAGGGAGATGCAGTGGGCGGGGTCATGCAAGTTCCACACCAATGGAGAGAGTAAGGAACACTGAGATGTCTGTGGTGGAGGAAACACATGAAATCTAGGATGGAATTGTCTCCGGATGGAAGCCTTGACTTGGGTGGTGGGCAGGATGGTGTTGGTGGAGGACATTGGCAGGGCTCTTGGACATGTTCACGGCACTCACTATAACCTGCAATGTCATTGGAGGGAGGGTCTTTGGTGACTCCCGAGCAGTGGAAGAGGCTATGTGTGGAGGCAGGAGCTTGTCTGTGTAAGTGGACACCCCAGCCACACACATCTATAAGATTGTCACTTTTATTATGTGGGTGGGTGGATGGATGGATGGATGGATGGATGGAGAGAGAGAGAGAGAGACAAATGGATGGATGAATAGATAGACGGATGGATGGACGGGCAGATGGATGGATAGATAGATAGATGGATGGATGGATGGATGGATGGATGGATGGATAGATAGATAGATAGATAGATAGATAGATAGATAGATAGATAGATAGATAGATAGATGGATGTGGTGTTGGGGAGAGAGAGAGAGAGAGACAGACAGACAAGAGGGATGGATGGATGGGAAGGTAAGTAGGTAGGTAGATTGACAGACAAGGCAAATGGATGGATAGATGGGTGGATATGTAGGTAGATAGATAGACAAGATGGATGGATGGATGGAGAGAGAGAGAGAGAGAGAGAAATGGATGGATGAATAGATAGACGGATGGATGGGTGGACAGATGGATAGATAGATAGATAGATAGATAGATAGATAGATAGATAGATAGATTGGATGGATGGATGGATGGATGGATGGATAGATAGATAGATAGATAGATAGATAGATAGATAGATAGATAGATAGATAGATAGATAGGTAGGTAGGTAGGTAGATAGGTAGATAGATAGATAGATAAATAGGTAGACAGACAGACAGACAGAACAAAACAAATGGATGGGTGGATGAATAGACAGATGGATGGATCGATAGACAAGCCGGATGGATGGATGGATTGATATAAGATAGATAGACAGACAAGATGAATGGGTGAATAGATGGATGGATTGATATAAGATAGATAGACAAGATGAATGGGTGAATAGATGGATGGATGGATGGATGGATGGATGGATAGATAGATAGATAGATAGATAGATAGATCCCAAGATAGCACTATGGATGGATGGATGGATGGAGAGATGAATAGATAAATGAAAGAGATGGATGGATATGAATATAGATGAATAGATAGATAGATAGATAGATAGATAGATAGATAGACTGACTGACTGACTGACTGACTGATGGATCGAAGTATAAATAGATGGATCAATCGATCAATAGACAAGATGGATGGATGGATGGTGGAAGGAATGGATAGGTAGGTAGGTAAGTAGGTAGATAGATGGATGGATGGATGGATTTCCACCTCCATTAGACTTCCAGTTTATATCCCTGGTTTAATGGACCGTTGAAACAACAGGTCCTGATGACAGGGGATGATGGGAGTTGTAGTCCATTGTCATCCAAGCAGTCACTTGATTCCAGTCCTTGGTTCAAAAAAAAGTCGAGAATTAATCCGAGTGCCAGATGATTACCTCATTTTTGTCCGTTTTGAAAACTTCTTTTCTCCCCCATTGACTTTTCGCCCTTTGTCTCATAGCGACACGACAGTGTCACTCATTTGTCACTGAGGATGTAAAATGCCATCCAGGTAAATGCAAATGTACGTTGGGTTTGCTCTTTTGTTTTTTAACTGCTTGGAAAGAACAAAACCAAACCAAACCAAGTCTCCCTAACAAGCACATTCCTTTTTGCATGGAAAACCCATCGTCCCCCACGGCCCTTTTTAACCAGGATGATGTGCATGCCAGTCCCAAAGCCTTTTGACACCCTTTTGATAATATCGATATTTGTATATTCACTGACTTTTGCTTTTCAAGGCGGATGGAGATTCAAATAATATTTTTGGGGAGGATCTCAGTGAAGGGTTGACCCATTTCTAGCTTGTGAAGATGCTTGGGGGATATATATATATATTCTAATCCCACAATCATTGGAATTCCTCAATATTTCTTTATTTATTGTATTTATTAATACTGTTTCCTGGCTTCCGTTGCAGAGAGCAGGCGGTTTTCAACTACTACCAAGCCATGGCCCGGAACATGCGGAAGGCGCAACGCCGGACCCGGGTCCTGTCCCGATGGGACTTCCGAAAACACGCAGAAAGGTGGCGGAGGATCCGTCCCTTGGCCGAGTCCGCCCTGCACCGCTAACCCCCGCCTTTCCTTATTTCTGCCTGTAAATGCATGTTTTGAATTTTTTTTATAAAACCCTGAATAATGGAATAAACAAAACACTAAGTCAAGGTTTCCGTTATATTAAAAAATGGCTGAAATTAGAGTTTCTTCATATGGAAACTTCCTTCATACTTTTCCTCCTTTTCTTTTCCTTCTTTCCTTCCTTTGGCATCCCAGAAAGCAAACAAAGGCTTCCTCCCTCCCGCTTTTCCTTCCTCCCTTTCTTCTGCGCTGTCTTCCTTCCCTTCTTCCCTCCTTCCTCCCTTTCTCCCTCTCTCCTTCCCCTTCCACATCCCAAAAGGCAAACTTCCTTCTCTTCCTTTCTTTCTTCCTTTCTCCCTCCCTTTCTTGCTTCCCTCACTCTCCTTCCCTCCCTTCCACATCTCAAAAGGCAAACTTCCTTCCTCTCCCCTTCCCTCCTTCTCTCCCTTCCTTGCTTCCCTCCCTTCCTTCCTTCTTCCCTTCTTTCTTCTCCCTTTCTCCCTCCCTTCCTTGCTTCCCAAACTTCCTTCCCTCTTCCTTTCTTTCTTCTCCCTTTCTCCCTCCCTTTCTTGCTTCCCTCGCTCTCCTTCCCTCCCTTCCACATCTCAAAAGGCAAACTTCCTTCCTCTCCCCTTCCCTCCTTCTCTCCCTTCCTTGCTTCCCTCCCTTCCTTCCTTCTTCCCTTCTTTCTTCTCCCTTTCTCCCTCCCTTCCTTGCTTCCCTCCCTTCCTTCCTTCTTCCCTTCTTTCTTCTCCCTTTCTCCCTCCCTTTCTTGCTTCCCTCGCTCTCCTTCCCTCCCTTCCACATCTCAAAAGGCAAACTTCCTTCCTCTCCCCTTCCCTCCTTCTCTCCCTTGCGACAAGGTCTTCGACGGGCAAATTCCTTCCTCTCCCTTCCCTCCCTTCTTCCCTCCTTCTCTCCCTTCCTTGCTTCCCTCCCTCCCTTCCTTCTTCCCTTCCACATGCCAAAAGGCAAACTTCCTTCCATCTTCTTTTCTTTCTTCTCCTTTTCTCCCTCCCTTCCTTTCCTCCTTCTCCTTTTCTCCCTCCCTTCCTTTTCCTTCTCCTTTTCTCCCTCCCTCGCTTCCTTGCTTCCCTTTCTCCCTCACTTACTTCCTTCCACATCCCAAAAGGCAAACTTCCTTCCTTCCTTCTCCTTCCCTCCCTTCCTTCCTTCTTCCCTTCCACATCCCAAAAGGCAAACTTCCTTCCCTTTTTTCTTCCTTCTCCCTTTCTCCCTTCCTTCCTTGCTTCCCTTCCTCCCTCCCTTCCTCACTTCCTTCCACACCCCAAAAGCCAAACATCCTTCTCTTCCTTTCTTCCCTCCTTCCTTCTCCCTCCCTCCCTCCCTTCTTCCCTTCCACATCCCAAAAGGCAAACTTCCTTCCCTCTTCCTTTCTTTCTTCCTTTCTCCCTCCCTTTCTTGCTTCCCTCGCTCTCCTTCCCTCCCTTCCACATCTCAAAAGGCAAACTTCCTTCCTCTCCCCTTCCCTCCTTCTCTCCCTTCCTTGCTTCCCTCCCTTCCTTCCTTCTTCCCTTCCACATCCCAAAAGGCAAACTTCCTTCCCTCTTCCTTTCTTTCTTCTCCCTTTCTCCCTCCCTTTCTTGCTTCCCTCGCTCTCCTTCCCTCCCTTCCACATCTCAAAAGGCAAACTTCCTTCCTCTCCCCTTCCCTCCCTTTCTTCCCTCCTTCTCTCCCTTCCTTGCTTCCCTCCCTCCTTCTTCCCTTCCACATCCCAAAAGGCAAACTTCCTTCCATCTTCTTTTCTTTCTTCTCCTTTTCTCCCTCCCTTCCTTTCCTCCTTCTCCTTTTCTCCCTCCCTTCCTTTCTTCCTTCTCCTTTTCTCCCTCCCTCGCTTCCTTGCTTCCCTTTCTCCCTCACTTACTTCCTTCCACATCCCAAAAGGCAAACTTCCTTCCTTCCTTCTCCTTCCCTCCCTTCCTTCCTTCTTCCCTTCCACATCCCAAAAGGCAAACTTCCTTCCCTTTTTTCTTCCTTCTCCCTTTCTCCCTTCCTTCCTTGCTTCCCTTCCTCCCTCCCTTCCTCACTTCCTTCCACACCCCAAAAGCCAAACATCCTTCTCTTCCTTTCTTCCCTCCTTCCTTCTCCCTCCCTCCCTCCCTTCTTCCCTTCCACATCCCAAAAGGCAAACTTCCTTCCTTCCCTCTTCCTTCTCTATTTTTCCCTTCCTTCCTTGCTTCCATCCCTCCCTTCCTTCCTTCTTTCCTTCCTTCCACATCCCAAAAGCCAAACATCTTTCCTTCCCCCTTCCCTCCCTCTCTTTCTTCCCTCTTTCCTTCCTTCCCCTTCCTCCCTTCTCTCTCCCTCCCTTTTCTCTCCCTTCCACATTCCAAAAGGTAAACTACCTTACTTCCCCTCCCTCTCGTTCTTCCCTCCTTCCCCCCTTCTTTCTCCCTTCCCTCTTCATTTCCAACCAATCTTCTCCCTTCCTCCCTTCTCTTCTTTCTGCATCCCAGAAGGCAATAACCAACCTTCCTCCCTCCCTCCTTTCTTTCCGCATCCCAAAAGGCAAACTACCTTCCTTTCCTCCTTTCTCCCCCTCCCTCTCTTTCTTCTTCCTTCCTTCCACCCTTCCTTCCCTATGCCTCTCAGAAGGCAGCCTTCCTTTCTTCCCTCCCTCCTTCCTTCCGCATCCCAGAAGGCAACCAACCTTTCTTCCTTCCTTCCTGCCTTCCTTCCTCCTTTCTACCTCCCTTCCTCCTTCCCTCCCTTCTCTTCTTTCTGCATCCCAGAAGGCAACCGACCTTCCTTCCTCGTCCCTCCTTCTCTCCATCCTCTCCTTCCTTCCTTCCTTCCTTCCTTCCTTTCCTTTCCTTTCCTTCCTTTCCTTCCTCTCCTTCCTTTCCTTTCCTTCCTTCTTCCTTTCACACCCAAAAGGCAACTAACCTACTTTCCCTCCTTTCTCCCTCCCTCCATTCCTTCCCCGCTTTCCCCTCATACCTAACTTCCTTTATTTATTATTTATTTACTTACTTTGCTTATATACCGCTGTATCTCAAGCCCGAAGGCGACTCACAGCGGTTCACAAACAGTAAAAACAGTAGAAACAGCAGTGGTTCCATACAACATATAACAATTGACTTAACACATTATCCATAAATTACCAATAAGCAGTTACAATGCACAATTATTACAAAAAACAACCGTACCCAATCTTCTCATCATCCAAGCGTAGTCCAGGTTCGTCGTCCATTGTTCCATTCCTATGTTCCATTACCAGATTGCACTAAATTACTCAAACGCCTGCACAAACATCCAGGTCTGCACCTTTTTGCGGAATACCATTAGAGATGGTGCTAGTCTAATGTCCGTAGGAAGGGCGTTCCACAGCCGAGGAGCCACCACCGAGAAGGCCCTATCTCTCGTCCCCGCCAGCCGAGCTTGAGAAGCAGGCGGGATCGAGAGCAGGGTCTCCCCGGAAGATCTCAAACTCCTGGTGGGTTCATAGGCAGAGATGCGGTCAGATAGGTAGCTTGGGCCGGAACCGTTTAGGGCTTTAAAGGCCAACGCCAGCACTTTGAATTCAGCCCGGTAGCAGATCGGTAGCCAGTGGAGTTGGCGCAACAGGGGGGTTGTATGCTCCCTGCGCTCCGCTCCTGTTAAAATCATGGCTGCCGAGCGTTGGACTAATTGGAGCTTCCGAGCTGTCTTCAAAGGCAACCCCACGTAGAGAGCGTTGCAGTAGTCTAAACGGGATGTAACCAGAGCGTGGACTACCGTGGCCAAGTCAGACTTCCCAAGGTACGGGCGCAGCTGGCGCACAGGCTTTAGCTGTGCAAATGCTCCCCTGGTCACCGCGAAACCTGGGGTTCCAGGCTCAGCGATGAGTCCAGGGTCACACCCAAGCTGCGAACCTGCGTCTTCAGGGGGAGTGCGGCCCCATCCAACACAGGCTGTAACCCTATGCCCTGTTCGGCCTTGCGACTGACCAGGAGGACCTCTGTCTTGTCTGGATTCAATTTCAATTTGTTCGCCCTCATCCAGACCGTCACAGCGGCCAAGCACCGGTTCAGGACCTGGACAGCCTCCTTAGTAGCAGGTGGAAAGGAGTGACAGAGTTGGACATCATCCACGTACAGATGACACCGTACCCCGAAACTCCGGATGATCTCCCCCAGCGGCTTCATGTAGATGTTAAACAACATGGGAGACAATATTGAGCCCTGAGGAACCCCACAAGACAAAGGTTGTGGGGTTGAACAGGTGTCCCCCAACAACACCTTCTGAGATCGACCCTCCAGGAATGACCGGAGCCACTGCAAAACAGTACCCCCAAGACCCATCCCTGCGAGGCGTCCCAGAAGGATACCGTGGTCGACGGTATCGAAGGCCGCTGAGAGGTCCAGCAGCACCAACAGGGACACACTCCCCCTGTCGAGCTCCCGGCGCAGATCATCCACTAAGGCGACCTTTGGGGTGGGGGGGAGATTATTTCTAAATACAACAGTCAATATATGTTTGTTCTACAAAGGCTCCGTTCACAATCGGATGCATCTTGAGAAAAGACTGGAAATTTCCACTCGGATTTAGGATTGTGAGAAAGATGGGGGGGGGGGGGAACTACATGCAGCCCTTTTTGTTTATCTTTTTTTATGGATCTTCGTAGATAACGACGAACAAAGCGCAGGTTGAGAATTGCCTTATTTGCACAGCAATTGGAGATGTTTTATGTTTTATGACAAACAGAAAAGAGGAAGAAACAACAAATATCTTAAGGAGTAGGAAAGAGTATAAAAACAGATGTTTTTTCGGAGTCTTGTTGAAAAGGACAACAATTTTTTATCAAATTGTAGCCCTTTGATGAACCCCCATGTGGGCCACAGCCACGCGTGGCAGGGGACGGTTAGTAGTAAATAAATAAATGTGCTGTATATGTGTTCTGTAATTTGACCTGACCTCCCCCCCCCCTTGGCGAAACAGAGTGGAATATAAATAATTAATATTACAGGATACTGGGAGTTGTACTCGAGCAATGCTGAGGAAACAGCCCAAATTAATAATAAGTTGCCATTTCTGGTCCAATGAGTTCCAGAAATCAGACATGTGTATGTGCCAAGTTTTGTCC